CCCAATCATTCAGCTCTTTCCAGAATAAATTCTGTGCTAAAGATTTTACCTATTCTGAGTAGATGGAAATAGATACAAGTATGTACACCATTTGGTGCCACTTCAAGAAAACATACATAGAATTTTCATACTTAAAGATGGAACAAGTTAGAAGTTAATCAAAATAGAAGTGGCTTAAGCAATGTCATTTGTTTTTGTTTTGTTGGTCTTCAGAATACACTTTATGCTGCTTCTCACATAAGAAGTAACAGTGCCTTTTATAGCAAAAATGTCCATTTTTAGATACATACAATAGATCCCACATAACATGCGAAACACAAACAGTACTTCTTTTCTGCAATTCATAGAGTCACAGAACAAAGCCCACCCAACCCCATGCTGTGGGCAAGGCTGCCCCCCACCAGCTCGGGCTGCCCAGGGCCCCATCCAACCTGGCCTTGAGCACCTCCATGGATGGGACACCTGCACCTTCTCTGGGCACTCACTATTTTTTCTTGTATTTTGTACTTAATAAACAAAAAGCAGGTGCCTAAGCAGTTGGACAGTAAGGTTGCACAAATCCAGACTAAAAGACATTTGTGCTGTCGCATTTACCAGCCTTAAGGCTCCAGTTGCCTTGCTTAGCTTTGCTGTGAAAGACCAGATGCAGTGTTTTATGCAAGCTGTCCCCCACACAGACTGCCTTTTGGCATCATTCTATTTATCTCTCTTAATTTCAGTGTCTGTTACTACTAGGAGTAAATTTAGTTTACTATTATTATGCAGGCTGCTCCAAAAGTAATGTCTATTACTTATTTCCATGGGAACTACAACAGGCACAAAGAGCACAGTAACACCAATTGATAAAACATTCTCATCTACAAAACACTATTTCAACACAGTCACCACCGTTAGCTTAGCTGTGCATTTTTGCAGTGATGAACAAGAGCCTGTGTGCTGCACGTGTGAAAATCTGCACCAGTGGAGGTGTTCTGCTGTTTCAAGATGTTCTGTCATTGCTGGAAAGCACCACTCACCACCTCACTTTTTGATCTCCATCAACATTCAGCAAGCATTAATAAACGTCAGTGCGTGCCATTTTTTCTGCATGGAGGAATTGAATCCTGCACCCTTCCTTCATATGCTTTTCCATGTCAGATGCCATTGTGTCACAGTGCTCCTCTGCTGCCATCTGCCACACAGCTACAACATGTAATGGAATAGTGGTGGGAAGGTTCAGCCTCTGCTGCAGTACCACCACCCGTCTGCCTCTGATGCTGTGGGGCAACATAGTAACATAGGAGGCATTACTTTCAGAGCAGCCCTCATCCATTTCCCTTGTTCTTTAACGGCGTTTAAAGGCTATGCTACTGATGGAGACCACTTCTCAGTTGTGAAATGTCTTCATTTTTTTCAGGACAGGGTGGGGGGAATATATAGGATTAAAAGAAAGAATACCGTTTATACTTACAACTTTCAAACTACAGCTTGGAACTTCAGTGCAGATAGCTTTGAGAGACGAAACAAAGTTGAAAGTAAGAGGATCTGTGTCTCTTGAGAAACTTATGAGGAGTCGTACTTTAATACTTCGTAAAACTAATGCTTCTCTTATCTTCCCATCTAGAAATGGCCAGTATCTGTGGAGAAAGAATACAGGATATTCACATAACTCTGAAAAAAAGGATTTTTAGGCAGCCAAGCGTAGAAGACATTACAGGGAAAACTAAACACATATGAATTTAATTTCCTGTTTAAGGAGCGCTGCTCTCATCTGCAAGAGTTCTCGCTGAGAAGATCAGCCAGCATCCTGTTCTATGTCACTCTGCCCTGCCAGGGCACAGAGCATTGCAGGTGGGGATAGTTGAGCTGTGTTTGCTCATAGCTGCGCCAGTTGCTCTTGCGTCACTGCCTGTAGTGAGAGTAGTAGGAGAACCAGTAGAAGCAGCTACAGCTAGAGGGTGCTGCTTACCTAGCCTACACAGAGGAACAGGAAAGATTTTCTGCTGGTTGCAGGTGTAAGGGAACAGGGACAGTGAAATCTCTGCCATGCTCTCCCTTCTCCTCTGTCTTATATATGGAGAGGAACAGAGACCTTGTGTTAAATTCATGCTTTGAAAAGGAGAGCTGCTGCTGTGCATGGTGTCTACATCCTTTAATAGTGGAAGGAGATGGATTGTTAAAGGAGGATGCTGCTTTTTCCTGATAATTTCTGCCATGAACAGGATAGTGGCCTCCATGGTGCTATCCTCACAGCTGGTGAGAGATACTTGTTGTCATTAGTTCTAGATTTGTGTTCCCAAGGTGAAAGCAGGTCAAGACAGGGAAAATTAGACAAAGAGAATACACTTTTGTTCTAGCAGTGTCGACATTCAACCTAATGAAATCTGATCTCTGTAATGCTAGAAAATAAAAATAACAAAATGGAAGCTGAACAGGTAGGGAAGCTGTGGCCTTGAATGCAAAGCCATACTGCGCTAAAGAAAATGTTGCAAAATTCACGCAGGTGACTTTCTTGGATCTCTCTGAATCCAAAGGATTTCTGAATTATTTAGACACGAGAACAAAGAAGGGAGGAATGCAGATGGTAACATCACGTGCAACACTGCAGCAGTTCTGCATACATAGACCCTTTCCAATCTAAGGAGAGATCAGGTGGATGGATGATGCGAGACTGAGGTTCCTGCAGCTTGCAGTACTCAGGATTCCATCATCGTAAGAGAAGCTATGTGTAATGAGTTTATCTGAAAAACCCTCTTCTAGATTTACACAGAATATTAGCCAAACCTTTTTTTTTTTTTTTTTTTTTTTTTTTTCCATTTTTGCATGTCTTCATGCAAAACTGGAAAAAAGCACATTTGGCCTAATGGCAATCAAAGTGCGTGGGTAGGACAGCAAGCTTAACGAGATGCTCCGTTCATAGGAACTGTTACTGAGGGACCGCTGGATACTTGCTTTCTGAGTGGAATGATTTTCTAAAATTGTGGCTCCAGTTTTGGATGACAGGTACTTTTTAACAGTTTACACAAACTGTGTTTAAAAATGATTTGATTTTGTTTTTAGCGTTTCTCAGCCTATCAGTTATGATACAACTTAAAATGTGATCTACACTGAATTTGGGAAGACCTTTAATGTATCTGTGTATTTCAGTAAAACTGTGACATCTCCCATGCTTCATGAGAACTCACAGCGCATTGTCTCTCTTCTGCATGCACATACATTCTCTCTCTCTCCTGCTGAATAGCTGTGTAGTTACGGTATCAAAGCAGTGGATATAGCAGTGTAAGGAACAGGATTCGTGGATGTGTAGGTTCTTGTACTCCTGGGTCTCAGTCACTTGCAGATGGTCTGACTAGACAACTTCTGAGCCCCTTTGATAGGCAGATCCAAGGCTTAGGACCCTGAACTGGAAATGTCTTCTTAGGTCCCAATTCTGCTCCCATTTAAGTCAATGGCAGAACTCTCACTGATTTCAATAAGAGCAGAATTGGGCCCCAAGAAATTGGTCCACATAGCAACTAATCTCCTGTGGGGTCATTATCTCCAGCAGACCTTATGGCATCGTGATAGCATGCTAGCCCTGCACATGGACACTCACCGTTTAGCATTTGTGTCAATGACGATCGGCAAGTAGTCCATGACAGCTATGTATACAAACTGTTTGGCATCATCGATAACATTGTATATAGCTTCAATATCCAGGACTCTGTCCTTTGGGCAGAAGAGTTTAGGTGAATTCTGTGAAGGCAAAATTCAAATATTGCATTTAAAATAGAAGGACAGATTCTTTTCTTCTCCCTTCATATGTCTTAAGGTAATAAGCAATATTCTGAATTTCAGTAGAGACTGTTAACTTTACCCGTCCTGCCGGAATACTGAAACATCAGAGTAATTCTCAAGGCTTATTTTTTTTCTTGAAAACATCAGGTAGATACAGCTGGGTAAAATGTAGACATCACAAGCTTGAAAACTGTCCTCTCTGAAGCTCTGGCTGAAGGTGTTACATTTCAGATAAATCTGTTGTGGAGTCCCAGGACTGGTTACTGTTAGATAGAGTAAAAACTGTGAACCTGATCTATCACTTACTACCAGAAGGTAGTCTGTTACTCATGTTTACATGACCATACAGTTACCATTTACTCAATCACTGTTGCAGGGAGATGCTGCAGTTTTGCAAGAAGCTTATCTTTAAAATCTGGCTTCAGATTTTACCTGGTACTGAGCTGGTAAGTAGTAAGCCCAGATTTCAGCTTTTCTGGTCTGTGTGTGGGGATGCAGAAGGTGACAGCCTGCTAGAGTCACCCACCTGCAGCACAGGCCAGGGCCTACTGCTCTTCTGCCCAGCAGAGAAGAGGTGGAGCCACCTGTTCATGGCACCTGAGAGCAAGGGTTGCTAAAGGCATTTGTAGAATTAGAGCAAGTGCCAGTTCCTGCACTGCTGGTTCTGCCAATGCACTGCTTTCCTGCTGCTGTGCCATCTCCTTTGTTTTCTGCTCGGCTTGCATCAAGGCTATATGTCTATTTTTTCTTTAGGGGTGCTGTTTTTTTCCCCCTCCCTTTCTGTGTACAGTGACAGTAGTGCCTTAGTCACTGATTGGTGTGAAAAGGCTTCTTACAAATAAAGAAGTTAGGAAAATGTTAGAAAATTAACAGTAGCAAAATTGTAAGACCAGTATTCCAGATGCATTCTTGAAAACTAAGAAAACCAAACCGAGCCTGTGTTTTTAAAACCAGTCTGGAAGATGATCGTGTTGCTAAGAAACATTACAGCAATGACTCCTGACTATAAGAAGGAAAGTTCAGTGACTTAGTGTTATGCTTGTTGTTTTATATAGCATAAAGGTTGAAAGTGAAATAAGTTTTCAAGGAATAAGTCTAGACTCAAGAAAAGGTGTAAAATGAATTTGTTAAACATAATTTATATCATCTGAAATTTAAGGAGGCTGTTACACTGTTCTTATGCTCAATATCTTCTTGCAAAAAAGTTGCAAGTCACACAGAACAACAAAGGAATTGCTACACATTGTCTTTGTCAGATGCCTTCATTACAAAGACGAGGAAGTCAAAGGTGCTTCGAAGAAAAACCTCTGTTCTGCCTGTAACAATCATTTTAAATACCCTTTTTTTTTTTTTCCCTTACACTTGGTACCTTTCGGTATGGCTGACCTCTGGTCATCGTGGGTATTTTAGTGCTTTCCTCGGTATTGGATAGTACTTTGTCAAGACAGCAAGCACTGCAGCAAGCACAAGCAGGCCCCATGAGAAGGGCAGCGATGAGTAAGTGAGCTCCCAGCCTTTTTGTCCACAGAAGAGGAGAATGCAGATCACAGGGAACAACTGCATGTTCTGCAAGCTGCAGAAGAATAGTTTTTGTAAGAGCTTTCTCTGCTTGTCTTTGTCTAGAATTAATGGTCCGCTTAGGGATGGCCTTTGCCATATGACTGTGTGACCCCAATGCGAAAGGCTTCCAGCAGCATTTCTTAGTTTCTTATAAATTGGTAAGAAGAGAGTGGGATAATTTTTATAATTTATAATAACAGATAATTTTAATAACAGCAACTACTTCATGTAGAATTCATTTTGCAGCTCCTCAGCTGTCTTAAAGTCATTCTCTTCATTTGAGGCAGTCCTGTCCAGAATCAAGAGAAGTATATGTCTCCTCAGAAGACTGTTAGTTCTGGTTGCCTTAGGCACTTCAGATTTTCACTTGTTTCACTCCAGAACAGCTCTCTGTCTCTCCAATGACTGTAAAAGTCTGAAAATCTTGGGCACCTGAACTTTCTGTGGCTCCCAGCAGGCGAAGGTAAATCCTGTCCCATTTAACTACTCATCTGCATCAACATCTTGTGCTAGTAGCTTGTAAAAATTGAGTGCTACATACTTCATGTTGCTTTAGACTTAGCTGGCTATAAAACAACCCCTTGCTTTATGTAGAATGGGAAATAACTCTTATAATCTTCAGTCTATTCCTGATTATGAAGGCTGTTTTATTTTACTTAGGTAATAATGTCCAAAAGAAAAGATCCTTCAATATCTGTATCAATCTATGTACTTTTTTCCAGTTTTGCTACATCACTTCTGAAATGGATGAGTGTTCCATTTCTTCCCATTAAAAATACAAACACACAGGCAGTGAATCCACAGTGAATGCTGCTTGAATTTTAGAAGTTTGAAAATACCATTTAAAAATAAAAGTAGATCATGCTCTACAGAAGCATGAATGTCTTAAGGGAAGAGTGAAGATCCTTATAAAAATCTTGTACAGAAATTCAAGCTCTGACATTAAGTTTATAGTGCAACATTTTGGATCCCTGATTAAGAATTCATTTACTCCAAGCTATTTACCTTGAATCCACCATTGTAAGTAAATTAGATAATTTGAAGGTTGTCCCTACCATTTTCTAGATGAAAGAGGAAAAGTAGTGAAAATTACAGAGGAAAGAATAAGAATATTGCACATATTCTGCAGCAGTTTTCAGTCATGGCAAATTGCAGATAAGAACAATTACACAGAAGTCAAAATGTAAAAATATACTGTGATTAGTTTCTTTTGCAGCACAGGAAAAGATAAAACTTTCTTAAAACCTTTCAACTACTGAAATAACCACTTTCACAGACAACAGAGTGATGTATGGATAACAGCTATAGTGGTCTTATCTCTGTATCTGTTTCCAGTTACCTGCACAAGTCTCATCTCAGCATTAATAGCTGCTTGTAGCTAAGTACATAGCAGTAATGCACGTTTTCTTCTGTTAGGGTCAGTTGAAAGAAACACATATGTACCAGCTTAAATTACACCACGTAAGTTCATGTTTATGGTAATTTCCATCAGTAGTCCTGCTAATTTGTAATGGGTTTATGTGCTTTCCTGAAGATTCAGGTGCTTTCAAAGAGCCACAAAACATTAGAAAATAAAATAGGAGATAAAAAAGCCAAAGTACTGAACTGTGGAAATAAAACCATCTAATATCTGTCAGAGAGAACACAGCCATGTGATGGACTTCATCCAGAGAACTGCTGAACACCTTTGTTTCAGTAAAGAGGTGCTGTAGTATACATGAGTTAAGTAATCCTCTCCCCTTCCCTCCCTCTCTGCAATTCATTTCAGAACTTACCGACACAAAAGCTTCTGATTTTGTCTCATTCAGCTGCAGCGTCAGTTTGTTCTGAGTATCGTAGACTCCATAGAGTCTCTTAGACCAACTTGGAGGTATTTTATTCTTGTATTTTAAGGAACTGTACAGGGCAAATATCCTTTGTAAATCTAGGACCAGGCAGCTGCAGTTGTACACGATGACACCAAGTTCTTTCATCTGTGAAATTAAAAGTTCTTATTACTAGTGGTGTTTCGGCTGAGGGATCTGTGGAAATAAGCAGCAAGAACGTAAACACTTTCTAAAAGGTGACTTCCAGAGGCGCACCTTGGACTCACTAGTATTATTCTCAGTTGCAGGAACATTTGTGAACGATACTCTGTTAAAGGAAAATGCAGGAACTAAATTTTCAAAGTCAAATGAAGGCAGAACTTGTAACAAGGTTTGTATGCATAGCTGTGTCACAGCCACATGTCCTGACAGTACAGGACACCTGAGAGATGGACACAGCTTGAGAGCTGATACCCATTTGTCACAGGCACCTTTTTTCTTGCAGCTGTTGCTCAAGAGTTATAACTCTTAGCTGGGATGGGTCTTTTTTTTTCTTGTTTACAGAGAAGGCCTCCTTTCTGCTGAGTGACAGGAGCACAAATGCTAGTGGTGACAGCTTCTTACATCAGAAATAAATTGTCTTCTCTGACTCTCAGAAAAGCTGAAAGCAAAAGGCTTAAGTTATCTCCCTGCTGAAGAAGAAATACAAATCTTCAGCTTCCAATTAATGCATGAACAAAATAGATTCTTCATACTCTCAGTAGGTGGGTGCATTACGGGCAGTGTGATCCAGTATGTGGAATACGCAGTTAAGGCACAAACACATTTGATTCTTAGTGCTACCATTGCTGTAGTACCTCATTTACACCGTCCACATTTCTGGACATGAGTTTTTTTGCATGTGAAAACAGAGACAGTTAAGCACTTTGAAAGCATCACTGTTCTCACAAGTAAAGATGAGGGAAAATAGCCCACGCAAACATAAGTAGTATGAGACAATCAAGTGCTTTAACAGTCTTTGTACTCCATTTAAGTGAAGGTACATCTCGTGATTATCTTTAAGTCTTGGTTTGGCAGAGATCTCATTAATTAAACATACCCAGTACTTCTGTTGTTGAACTTACATGTATATTCCACTTACAAATTATTTCCTTGGATTCTGGATTCTGAAATTGAAGTGTAATGACACAGCCTCTCTCCCTTTGGTTTCTTTACACGCTAAGCTCAGGAAAGCATTGCTGTGGGCACAAAAGCTATTGACCTCTTATCTGCATTTCACATTACTTCAGTCATCTTCAAAAACTAAGACAATCTGCATGTCACTTTTGAAAAACAACACATAGGACAAATATTTAAAGGACCAATGCTGTTTTTTGCAAGGCCATTCTCTTGGCAGCATGTCCCAAAGTCTTCCTGACATGATGAAGAAAATAAGGAGGATGTGAGTTCTCCTGCATGCTCGGGCTTTCAGTGACACAACAAATTCCTCACTGGTTGCATCCCTTCAGATGAGCTCACCACGGTCACACCAGGCAGTTTCTGAGAGAAGCGTATCTTTTTGTAGAGCCTGCGTGAACTCTGAGACACACACAGTTATCTTGGAGATTGTTCCTGCACAGTTCTGTCTGCGGATAAGAAACACTCTGCAAGAGTGGGCAGAGGAGTACAAAAGAAGAGAGTCAAACCTTTGCTCCCTTACAGTGGTGGGAGAGGAAACAGCAAATCCCAACATTCCAGTGTGAAAGAAATACGATGGTTGGCACTGCCCCTGAGTCGGAAGTGCCACATAAATAAGAATATACAACTCTTAACAACCTCATTCCCAAATACTTAACAAATTGTTTTAGCCACAGGAATGTTACCCAAACTTGCTATTGCCTAAGTCTTAACATTACTATGAACTTTTTTCATTTACTTTGGAGAAAAATAAGGTACTCCTCCATTAACCTGTACAGCTAGCAGTTTGTGGGTAGTTGAAAAACACGGACTGCTTATTGCACTGCAGCGTCTTACTCATAAGGCAGTAAATTCATTTTGATGATAAATATAAATTATTCCAAGCTGTGCCCAGCATCTGAGCCAGCCTGTTTGGAGTAACATCTCTTTTTTTCCCCTGGGTGCCGCTACCTTTGAAGATGCTCCTGTTTTTAGTTTTAGGCTGTCTCTGACCTCTGCACGCTGTTTGTCTCCAAACATTTTAAACTGTACATTATCTCTGTTTTCACTGAGTGCTGCAAATGCTGCTCCGTTAATTGCCAGGCACGTCATTGCAAAGGACTTACTAATAATATTCAGTTACATGTATCTGCATAATATAGCTTAATCGGCTTTTCATGGCTCTTAGCTGATTCCTACATAATTATGTGTTTACAGGTTTCCTTTCACTTTTGAGTTCCACTGTTCCACTTTATCCCTTCCATTAAGCAGAAAGATAAAATAGTGACCAAACAGCACACCAGAGGCTGTCAGCCTTGCGTCTGTGAGAGCAGCCCTCTTCAGAGAAGCATGCTTTCTCCCTCTCTGCAAATCAAAGCATTGCCCTTCTGCCTCTTCACTTCCTTACTTACAGAGATGAGGAAGCAGCCTGGGGTACTACCCGCTTTGTGCCTCTGCCATTTTTACAACCCACCTTGCACCCACTCCGCAGTGCTCGCTGTGCCCAAACAGCAGGCCGCAGCCCCAGCCAGACCTTGCCTGGCACATGGGCTTCGGTGACACCACTCCAGGATGTGCATTCACACTGCAGCAATGAACCTGGCTGCCCGCAGCACTGCAATGTGCATTTGTCCTCTCTGGAGGCACACAATGATCAAAGCTTTCCCTGCTTCTGGAGTCATGGTAAGAACTCTCCCCATGCAGGCTCACCACCACATGATACCGACCGGACTCTTCCTTTTCCTCTGGCACAAGAGTTACTTCCTTTTCCCAGCTGCCTGTTTTCACTAAGCTTCATGGAGTTCAGTTAAAATTTGCCTGAATTTGGAAAGTAGCTTGAAAGTTACTGGAAAAGGGCAGACAGCAACTCATACACTTACTGTGCAGAGCTGATTTCCTTAGAAAATGAGGTTAGATGTCAGTCTGGGGCCTTGTTACAGTCAAATTCAAGTCACCTTGAAAGGAAAGCAGCACAAAAAAAAAATCACAGAAACCTCAGCCCCATTGTTGTGGAACAGCCTTAAGTAGGCTTGGAGACTAAAACGTTGTGCTTCTGCTTCAGAAGCATCTTCTACATAGAGCCTGTTTTTACTCCCATACTGAGTTGATGAGAAACTGCTTTTTTCCCAGTTGATCACAAAGCCTATCATCGTGGAGGCACTTCTGAGAGTGGGTTACAAGGATGTGCTAGTGACAGATTTAGTATGTCATCTGGACAAGGGAAAAGAATTTCCCTTCAGTTTGAGAGCTGCTGTTATTACAGACTTTTTTTTTCCCTCTCAGTAGTCTGACAGGAGAGGCAGAGAAAACATTTAAATTGAATCAAAGTCTGAGTGTTGTTCTCTGACTTCCACTGACTGAAACCTGCAGCTAAGCATCATCTAAGATACCTGATGTGGTAAATTCCTCCAGTACTAGAGCTTATAAGGCAAGGGAAGTTTTTCTTCAGCCCAAGTTTTAAAAGCAACTTTTAACTTAGTAATGAAAATACCAGTGAAAAATTAAAGCGAAGAAGGTCTCAAGAAATCAAATCTATGGAAGATAAATCTGAAGTGAAAATCACAAATTTGAATGCCTCAAAATGGAACTGAAATACTGAGATAGGAAAATCTGAAAAAAAGCTGTTTGTGATATTTTAGTTGATATTTTCAAAACATCTGGGAACAGGGAATTTTATGTCCTCTCCTTATTTAAGAGCCATCATTAGTGCCCTTTTCAAAGAATGAAAAACAAAGGAGCGGGCTGCCCTTGTTCTTGCTCACACCATTTCCATTTGTACAGAGCATCTGTTAAAGACTGCCAAATCAACATCTGTCTTTCTTGCCAGGAAGTGCTTTCTTAAATCACCAGAGAAGTGAATGGTTACAAAGACTCAAGGAAAAATGACAGTGGCCCTGTATGATGATGATCTAACTACAGAAGACGATTAAGCTGCAAAAAGTAATAGAAAATTAGAAAATTAAGTATTTCTAATTAGAAAAACCGATTTTTGTGACAAGAGGAAGAATAATTTGCTAGACTGGATGTGAGCAAGATTTCACTAATAGAAATTTTTGCTTGTTCTTTGCTCTTACACGTTTGACAGGTGTCACTTACATAATGAGAAAACAAGGGGAGATAATCTAAAACAAAAAGGTTGCGGATTTATAACACTCCAGTTACATAATATTAGAAACAGTGTTAGTAAGGCTTTGTAGAAATTGTGGATGATGGGGTTAGGGCTCATGTTTTCTCCTTAGCCCACAGTGCACAGACCAGACAGTGTGTTCTATATTTATCTTGGGATAGACTCTAGGAAACAGCCCCCCTGTGTAGGCAAGGTACTATCTGACCTACATAAGAGTGGCACAGTCTGGTTCACAGCTTGTAGTATCTGACTTGTGTGAGCAGAGCAAGAGGCTTTAGAAAATTCCTTATTAATTTCTTAAAAAACAAAAAGAAGGTTAATGATTGCTCTGTCTGAAGTCTGATCATCCGATCCTGAAAGTGCTCTGCAGCTCTCCTGAGGCACCAGCTGCCATTTGCCTGAAAGACAATCTGCAGGCGCCATCCATTGCCTATGCTAGAGAAGCACTGGAATAACTACAGGGAGTCCGTTGTTGGACTCTAAATTTACTCAGCAGACCATTACGTATAGGGCTGCATGTGTTTGCCTCCTGTCTGCCCTTTGTCTCTGTTTGAAAATGTATTTCATTATCTTTTCAGGTCTGTGGGGGGTTTTAATGAGCAATTTCCGAATGTATGACTGAGCAAAAGCAGAATGACAGCAGTAGGGCAGTGGGGTAACAAGAAGTGTGATCTGTCAGTTACTAAGGTTTTAAATGTCCTCACGTTTTCTGTAGCTTCTGAAGAAAAATAACAGTGTATTAATTACCACCATGCAACAGGCTGCAGATATTTTCAGTGGTAAACTCAGGATCTTCTCATAACGTGCTATAGATACGTGGTCAGCCTGCGCTCCAGACACTGGGTTCCTTTTCACTCAGTTATCATCCTCATGTGACACCCTCTCC